AGGACTGGACACAGAGGGAGTGAGGGATTTAAGAAGAGAGGACTGGACACAGGGATTTAGGAAGAGGACTGGATGGAGGGAGAGTGAGGGATTCAGGAAGAGAGGACTGGACAGAGGGGAAGTGAGGGTTTAGGAAAAGAGATCTGGACGGAGAGAGAGTGAGGGATTTAGGAAGAGGACTGGACACGGAGTGAGGAATTTAGGAAGAGGACTGGACACGGAGTGAGGGATTTAGGAAGAGGACTGGACACGGAGTGAGGGATTTAGGAAGAGGGCTGGACACAGAGGGAGAGAGGGATTTAGGATGAGAGAGCTGGACAGAGGGAGAGAGTGATTTAGGAAGAGGGCTGGACAGGGAGAGGGATTTAGGAAGAGAGAGCTGGACAGAGGGAGAGTGAGTGATTTAGGAAGAGGGCTGGACACGGAGTGAGGGATTTAGGAAGAGGGCTGGACACGGAGAGAGTGATTTAGGAAGAGGGCTGGACACGGAGTGAGGGATTTAGGAAGAGGGCTGGACACGGAGTGACGGATTTAGGAAGAGAGAGCTGGACAGGGAGAGCGAGTGATTTAGGAAGAGGGCTGGACACAGACGGAGAGAGGGATTTGGGAAGAGAGGACTGGACAGAGAAGGAGAGTGAGGAATTTAGGAAGAGGGCTGGATAGAGAGGGAGGGAGTGTTAATCTGTGCTCTTTGTTTGTAGACGGAGTCACTGCTGAATCGCGGGAGAGAAGGGGTAGAGGAGGAAAGGACAGTGTGAGTGAGTTGTCTTGGTCTCTGTGGATGCTCTGTCTGCTCTGGAAGAGACAGATATTTGGGCCAGCTGTCCAGAGAGGGGGACCCCAGTTTGGAGCAAAGGGGGGGTTCAGAGCCTGTCTGGAGAGCACACACCATGGGTGAGATTATCAGCAGAACCTATAGTTGTGCATGTGTATAAATGTGTAGAATTTTCAATGTGTGTTTCATGGCAGTTTTTTAAATTATTTATATTGACATTTAAATTATAGTATTGTGCACTAGCCGTTATTAAATCCACTTAAGAAAAACTAATCCTGCTACTCTGGGTTAAAGATGTTTTTGTAATCCTTTGTGAACTAGAATTGTTTTAAATATTGTAGCTGTGATATTGTACATCCATGTCATGTTAAAAAAGAATATTGTGGATACGTCTATGTAGACATATCATGTCAGTCTCCTGGATCAGCTCCACCTGTGAAGTGTGATTGAGAGAGTGATGTGACAACAGACCCTGTGGCTGAGATGTTCAGTGAGAAGCAGCTCTGGCCTGTTTGTTCAGGAGCTCTGGCCTGTTTGTTCAGCAGCAGAGGTTGTGTTTTAACTGGGAACAGATTTGGACAAAGATGGAGGAGGGCTCTAAGTTTAACACTATTTTATGCACTCAGTTCCCTAGTGAAGGACGAGGGCTCTGTGTTCAACACTGCGCTCAGTTCCCTAGTGAAGGACAAGGGCTCTGTGTCTAATACTGTGTTCAGTTCCGTAGGGAAGGACAAGGGCTCTGTGTTTAACACTGCGCACAGTTCCCTAATGAAGGACGAGGGCTCTGTGTTCAACACTGCGCTCAGTTCCCTAGTGAAGGACAAGGGCTCTGTGTCTAATACTGTGCTCAGTTCCCTAGGAAAGGACGAGGGCTCTGTGTTTAACACTCGCTAAGTTCCCTAGTGAAGGATGAGGGCTCTGTGTTTAACACTGCGTTCAGTTCCCTAGTGAAGGATGAGGGCTCTGTGTTTAACTATGCGCTCAGTTCCCTAGGGAAGGACGAGGGCTCTGTGTTTAACACTCCGCTCGGTTCCCTAGGAAAGGACAAGGGCTCTGTGTTTAACACTGCGGTCAGTTCTCTAGGAAAGGACGAGGGCTCTGTTTAACACTGCGCTCAGTTCCCTAGTGTAGGACGAGGGCTCTGTGTTTAACACTGCGCTCAGTTCTCTAGGAAAGGACGAGGGCTCTGTTTAACACTGCGCTCAGTTCCCTAGTGTAGGACGAGGGCTCTGTGTTTAACACTGCGCTCAGTTCCCTAGGAAAGGACGAGGGCTCTGTGTTTAACACTGCGTTCAGTTCCCTAGTGAAGGAGGAGGGCTCTGTGTTTAACACTGCGCTCAGTTCTCTAGGAAAGGACGAGGGCTCTGTGTTTAACACTGTGCTAAGTTCCCTAGGAAAGGACGAGGGCTCTGTGTTTAACACTGCGCTAAGTTCCCTAGTGTAGGACGAGGGCTCTGTGTTTAAGACTGAAGGTGATTTTTCCACTGGCTCCTGTTGTTTTGATGCTCCAATGGGTGTGAAAAGCAGGATGCCAGCCGAATGCTGTGGCATTCCTTAATGACAGGGAGAGACACTTTCTCTGGAAAACCTTCCGGCCAGACGGAAGTAAATAAGAGGGAGGTAGAGAGACAGAGTGTGGGAAAGAAAGGAGAGATGGACAAGGAGACAAAAGGGAGAGAAAGGCTGAACAATAGTGAGAGATGGAGGTGAAATAGGGATTGAAGAAGAAGGGAAAGGAGGAACAGGGAGAGTGAAAAATGCACAATAGGTTCAGTGTGTCTGAATTAATTTCCACACTGGGCTGAGGCAGAGAGACGGGACCGAGTTCATCTCTCCTTAACACGCCTGTGTTGTTTCCAGGCAGGTTTGCATCTTTAAGGAATCCTGAATTCTGATAACTCACTGTATGAGGAAGTTTGTCTATCTGCTCCCACACTGCCATGAAAATTAAACTTGATGTTCCTGTTTTTAATCTATAATGTCATATATTAATGCTCTTTGTGTCATATACTCTGCCCTGTGCATTTCAGGCTCTGAGATTTATGCTTTATACTGTGCTATGTCATATGTGCCACTACACTGCAGCTGTGCTGTGTTCTGTATTTGTACACTGTGCTCTGTAGCTGTACACTGTAAACTGCAGCTGTGCTCTGTAGCTGTACACTGTAAACTGCAGCTGTGCTCTGTAGCTGTACACTGTGCTCTACAGCTGTGCCCTATAGCTGTACACTGTGCTCTGCAGCTGTGCCCTGTTCTGTACTGCATGCTACCGCTATGCTTTGTGCTCCACTGTGCTGCACTGCGGGCCTGTTTACAGCCAGGGGTTGGCGGGACAGTTAGGCTTCCTAGATTACCACCTGGAGACCACACACCCATGATTAGGGCGGAGCGGTGGCTCTGTGGCTCAGGATCTGCGTCTGTGGCTGGAAGGTTGCCGGTTCGTACCCTGTGGCCGCCAGAGGAATCCTACTCTGTTGGGCCCCTGAGCAAGGCCCTTAACCCTAACTGCTCCAGGGGCACCATATAAATTCCTGACTCTGTGCTCTGACCCCAAGCTTCTCGTGTGTCTCATGGAGAGCAAGCTGGGGTATGCAAAAAGACAAATAGCTGTCTTTTCCTAATACAAGAAGTGTATATGGCCAATAAAGTGATCTTATCTTATCTTAAGATCTTGTCTGATTTGTGGGGAAAGCTGAGGAGACAGGAGAGTTGAATTTAAGTGTCTGAGTGTGTCTTTGTGTGTGTTTGTGTGTGCTAGTTTGCTAGTTTACCTCTAACCTCTCTCTCTCTCCCTAGGAATGGCCCTCCGGACTCCTTTGCTGCTGATACTGAGCACCATATTCCTTTGCACCCACCAGTCAGAGGCAAGGACTGAAATGATTGGTCCAGGCAGGGTCTCGGGGGGAGGATCCAGCCTATCACTGAAGAAAACCCAGCAGCCAATGAGGTCGCAGAACAAGGAGCAGCTCCCCCAACTGCAGCAGCAGAAGCAGATTGTGGCAACATCATTGGCCGAGCTTGGTCCGGGAGGTGGGGACAAAGATGACGCACAGCCAATTAAATTGCAGAACAGACAACCGCAGCACCGTGGGAGAACGTCATTGGCTGAACAGAGTGTAGGAGGCGGAGACACAGATGATTTTTTGGATGCAAAGGCACTGCGATTGCTCAAAATGCAACAGCAGCAACAGCAGATTCCGACAGCCTCGCCCGCTGGGCTCGTGCTGGAAGGCCGGGACAAAGATGAGATTCTGGACGCAGATAAGGTGGTCGCCCTCTTCGTCACGGAGCGGCGGTTCGTGCGCCGGGACTGGTGCGAGAGCCGGCCCCTGGTGCACACGGTGCGCGTGCAGGGCTGCCTGAGCCGCGCGGTCATCGTGCGGTTCTGCTACGGCCAGTGCAACTCCTTCTACATCCCCGGCGTGGGGGGCGACGGGGGCGGCGCCTTCCGCTCCTGTTCGTACTGCCAGCCCCGCCAGCTGGGCACCCTCGCGGTCACGCTGACCTGCCCCACACTGCGTCCCCCGACCCGGCTGCAGCGCCTCACGGTGGTCAGGGAGTGCCGCTGCACCTCCATCGAGCTCGACTGAGAGGGGTGGGGCGGAGGAGGAGGGAGAGGGAGAGGGGAGGGAAGGAAAGATCAGGTGAAGAGATGGAAGCAGGGATGGAGAGAGCGAGAGAGAGAGAGGCAAGTTCTTTAAAATCAGAGATTTTGTTGGCCAAGAGTCTAGAGACGCTCTCTCTCTCTTTCACTAGCTGGGCTGTGGGCCTCCCTGTCCCCCGTGCTGCAGGAGTGTCCAAGATAACAGTCATCTGTCCATGGACAGTTGTGTGTTCGTGGGTTGGAGTCATGGGTTAGGGTCATGGTCAGCTGTTCCAGTGCCAATTTGCAGGAAACACACTGGGCAGGAAACACGGATGAACTGGACTTGGCCCCTGCGCTCAGTCTGCTCTGTGCCACTCCCTGGACCTGGAGGAAACCCGTGGGCATGTTTAACTTCACCCAGGGTTGCGTGACTTGTGTTTTGTCAGTGTTTAGTGAGCCTCCGGAAGTCATCATTCTGTGCACACCACTGCACTTTTTCTCTCCTGTCCTTGTCCCCAATGGGTCTCTTCTCCTGCAGGACTTGTGCGGCTGGACGCTGTCGTTATTCTGGGCACCGTAACAGAAGAGAGGACAGGTGTCCCTTCCGCTGGGGGCGACTGATTCTATCGGGCTTGTGTCTGACACGTCGCTGTTGTGCAGCACCCCCTTTCCCCCTGGGGTGGACCAAAGACGCCGACCGCAGTCGCCTGCTCTGGGATTTTGTGTGTCATGTGTACATGTTTGAGGTCTTCCGCTTAGACGTGTTTTCTGTGTCCCATCATGGACGCACTTCCTAGAGTAGAAATCACTGCTGATGTCCTATACGTCAACTTGTGTAAACCTCTGAACTTTTTACGTGTTTAAATTTTTTTTTTGCATGTGGACTAAGCTTAGAATGATAGATTGCTAAATGTGCTTCCTGTGTTAGAAACGTGCTTGGTGCGCTGTTCTGTGCTTCTCCTGTGGCCTCTGTGTGTCGGGATGGTGCCTTATGAAATAAACCGCGCCAGCTTGGCGATTTGCCTACACTGGTTTTCGTACGGCCCTTACCGTCTCGCTGAAGACACCTGCTTGAAGTCCCATCTGGACGTGACGTGCTTCACAGCACAGGCTTTGTCCAGTGAGCCGTTCGTGGAGATCCTGTCCACCGTGACATTTAGAAGTGAATTTAGTTTCCCAGGGGAAGCGAAAAGGTTTCATTATTATTTTCTGTTCAAGGTGCACGTGCACGTGCAGTAGGTAGTGTTTGTTGTGATCTCCAGTTCAGGTGAGCGCGGTCCTGGAGTACATGAGCTCTGAAATATCAGCGGTACCGAAGTAATAAGGAAGTTCGCTGAACCTGTAATAAACAAGACGGACTTGTACCGAATATATATACAGCGGTGACAATTAGAAATGTTTCA